TAGTAGACCTTTGTCTGAGGAAGAGCAGGTGAAGATTTATGAACAAAACCTCCGTTGCCCGTGAACTAGCACAAACAATCGACAAGTGGGATCTCTTCTTATCAAAAGGCTTCTGCACAGCAAGAGAAACCACCAGCAGTGTGAAGAGACAACCCACAATGTGGGAAAAAGTCTTCACCGGCATCATATAATTTTAAACATCTGTGTCTCCACATCTTACCCCTTTTGTGCTCCTGAGCTGGCTTATTCTCTCACACACTCTCTCTCCAGGTCTAGGAGTCCCTAGGTGGCATTTCTGACATATTCCTGTCCGTTTGTTGGGGATATAATAAGAGGCGACCTCATGTTCTGATGCTCTAATCCCCCAGCCCCGAATGCCCTCTGCTTGTAAAGCTGTATGCACCTTCCACCAGGAGAACATGATATGTGACAAATGTGCTATTCCCTGATGACCTCAGAGCACCTAACCCAAATCACATGACTGCATGAGGGGAGAGATGCCAAGTGACATCATCTCCTTTACTGCCAGGCATCTGCATGCAATCTTCCTTCATCCTTCAGTCCCAAACAGAAGTCCTCAGACAACTAACTTGCAAATCTCAGGGCTGTCCATTTTGCCAACATATTTGAATCTCAATTTGGGCTCAAGGTGAGAGAGCCACTATATATAGTTAGGTGGATTGATAACTAATTTGAAAACTCAGTCCCAGGGTGGAGCAATTAATGAATTAATATACCCTGTGGGAGGTGTCTAGGGGCTTGCTCAAGGACTTTATTCTTTTCAACATTTTTATTACTGAATTAGTTTGAGGATGGAGCTGTCAAGCTAATCACAGTTCCAGATGGCACAAAGCTGAGAGGGACAGAAAATACAGTGGATGGCAATATCAGAATCAAAAAGACACGGAAAGATTAGAATGCTGATCTGAATCTAAAAGACAAATTTTAGTAGGAAGGAAATGTAACACTGCATCAGCACTGATATGAGCTACAATGCTGATATTTACATTTTACCATGGAATACTTTCCTTAAATACGATTTTACCAGAATTCTCATATGTAAGAACAAACCTGTTCTGGCTGATGTAGGAGTGGAGGAACCGAGGAGCCTCTCCCTTCTACTCTTTTTCTCTCTCCATGGCCTCTGAGATGTTCTCTGGAGCATAGTTTGAAAATTTTGGGGGTCTGAGTTAGTGGAGCAAGGGATTGTGGGGAGAAGGGAGGGCTGAACATGGCCGAGGGCATCAAAGATGAAGAAACCTCATCAATTTTGGTTCAAGGCAGACTCGGTATGAACCAATGGTATGATATGTTCCTTTCCCCAGGATAGTGATTGTATTTAGGATGAGGTAGTGGACATAGAACAGTGAGAGCACAGAATGTACCTCTGCAGGGTAATTGACATGGAACTCTGTGTCCTCATCATACTGGGATCATCTGGAAGTTAGGATTTTGCATCTTTTTTTCATTACCACTTTATCATTTTATCATATGTCTTTTCCCTATTGTTAGATTTTATGTTTGATGGCTGTATACTCTGCCACAATGTAATGGTACGATCATCTATGTAACCATCCTCTCACTGTCGGGGGATTGGGCTGGGGCTGCTGCACAGGCAGCGCAGGACCCTATGTGTAGAGATTAGAATAACTGCAAAACACCGCTCCTCTTACTTTTTTTTTTTTCCTAGATATCAAACCTCACCCACCACTAGGCAACTGATCTATAACTGAGTTATATCCCCAGTCCTCTCATTTGTTTCCTATTCTTTTTCTTTAGGGCTGCCTGCCGTTCAGACCTCTAAGACATCGTCTTTTTGAAGACTTCTACCAACAGATCTCGCTGAGAAACAATATGAAATAAAAAATACTTTTTCCTCTAGGATTTTTTTAGTAACCCAAGGGTGCTGTGTTTTCTTCTTGGTCTGCGTGATAAGAAGAGTAACAGCTAAGGACAGTAGCACACATGTGTAATTCCAGAGGCTAAAGCAGGAGGATTGCAAACTTGAGTAGAGCCTGGGCAATTTAGAAGCTTAGCAAGACCCTGTCTCAAAACAGAAAACAGAAGAAGGAAGAGGTGGGTATGTAGCTCAATGTGAAGACCCTGGGTTCAATCCCCAGTACTGCAAACAGAACAAAACAAAACAAAACAAAAATTCCCAGACAACCAACCAACCAAACAAATGAAAAATCCACAAAAATGAAGCAATAAGAATACTCCATGAACTTACAGTTCCCAGTGTGGTTTACACAACACACAAACTGATAACTGTGGATCTCCCTCTGGGACTATCATGTTAGCTTCCATGTTATCACTCAGCTCTGACCTTGTTCAGTACTTAGTTTCCTACGTGAAAAAAATGAGTGATTTAGATGAATCCTTTCAATGTGGAGGTTTCACTTTTCTATCATGGTTTCCAGTCAGTGGAGGACATAATTTTAGCGTTGCAGGTGATGATATCTAGCACATCATCTTATACTCAAATCCATCCACTCTGTGCTAGGCAAGCTCCCCACAGTTTTCAAAACATGGTCCAACAGTGGCTGGGTTCCCCTAATGCTTTAAAGACTTCCACACAGTCAGAATAGTTTCTATAATATTAAGGTGATGTGGTGATTCCGCTTTTAATTTCTTCCGCATGTGCTGAGTATAAGAAGTTTTTTTGCTTTGTTTCCAGATACCACACAGCAATTACCTCTTATGAAACTACTTTTTGGTATAGATGCTAAAGAAAACTATTCACAATTCTCTGGAAATACTGAAATGTTCTTCTTTTTGCCAAAAGCATATCCTTAGGAGGTCAAATCTTCTTTATATTTCAACCAAAAATAGCAGATTGGAAGCAAAACCAGGTATGAGAATGTTTTAATTTCTAATATAATATGGTATTTTAATACAGTGATTTGTACAGTAAGTACTGTTTTTTTAATACAACCCTGACATAAATAACTTACAAACAAAGATCCTCAGGGTCCTGGATCAAAAAGCTTGAGAATGGGTGTGTAAAACATTATTAAAGTAGCCAGTCTTCCTTCAGGATGGTGGCGGCCACTCCTCTCTTGAGATCCCTTACTTTCCTGCCTTCATTTATGCCATTGTGAAGGGTGATGAGGAAGGCCCATTGACATTTGAAAGTAATGCCCTGTGAATTCTTTTTTTTTTTTTTTCGGTACCGGGGATCGAACTCGGGACCTTGCACTTGAAAGGCAGGTGCTGGAACCACTGAGCTAAATCCCTGGCCCCAGAGTTTTTTTCTTTTTTTTTGGTACCAGGGACTGAACTTGGGTCCTTGTGCTTGTGAGGCAGGCGCCGGAACCACTGAGCTAAATCCCCATCCCCTAATTCTTATATTTGATTCTTTTGGAGCTATGACATGATGCTCTTTCATGGAAATTTTCCTTTAAATTTTATTTCCATTAAGGGCATTCTTTAGACAATTCACACAAGAATCAAATGCTAGAATAATTGTTAGGTTGCAAAGGAATAAATATAAAATATGGGGGATGGAAAAGAGGAGGATTGGAGGCTAGGATAAGAGTAATAGGCATTATGAGACTTTCAAGATGCAAGAAACGAGAGGGTTCTCACCATCCCTTTGTGCTCCCAAAATGAGGGTGCAGGAAGGACAGGTGTCACATATTCATGATGGTTGGAGGAATCCCTTAGGAAAGCAGAATTAAGTTTTCTATGGATGACTCTATGTTGTATTGTTGTCATAACCCCGAACTCAGAGCCTTTGCACTGAGTTACATTCTCAGCCCAAGTTATTTTTTATTTTGAGACACGGTCTCCCTGTGTTGCCCAGGCTGGGCTTGAACTTGCGATCCTCCTGTCTTAGGCCTCAGGGTGATGGGATTACAGGCATGTGCCACCATGCCTGGCTTTGTATTGTTTTTTATTTCTGAAAATGAGCCAGGATCTGATCACAAAAGTCTAATGATGTACTCCAGTGAAGGCTCCATTCATGATGGCTGCAGCAGAGCCCACAGCTGTCAGGTGAAAGCCAAATGCCCCCAAGTCCCTGCATTCACTTGGAAATAACTCATCTGTTAGACCACTACACTCTGCTCTCTCAAAGGTAATCTTTTAGCCACAATGAATATTGAAGAGAAGAGAAGGCAAGGGACAGAAGGAGAGAGTATACCAAGAATTAGAAGGTTTGTACTTTTGTATAACTTCCTAATGAATTTGCTGGTAATTCTTGCCTTGCTGAGCTCCCGATCCTGCCCAACTGTCTTTAAAAACTTTTCCAAGACCATAGCCCTGTGTTTATCTGACTCAGCATGAAGGTACCGATCACCCAGGTAAGGAAGACCGAGGCTGATTTTGACCCCTGCTAGAGAGCAGGCAGCATTAGAAGGGACGCAGTGGCTTTTAATCAATGCCACAGGCATAACTCAGGCCCCTTCATTTCCAATCAGGTCACCAGTAATGAGATCCAGAACCTTTCCCCAGGGTTAGTCCCTAGCATTAGAGTCAGGCTCACTGAAGTTTGGGCCCATCAGATGGAACATATGGAAAGAGAAGGTGACAGCCAAAACTTTAAGCAAATGCCAGAAGAGTTACATGAGGGTTACCTTGGAGCAAGGTTAGAAGTAGTGCAAGGTTACTGTGACATACAGCCACATGTAAAAGGGTCCAAGGATCATTATTTTATACACAGATTCTTAGGGAACCGGGTAAAATATAGCCTAGAATTCATTCATCACACACTCATTCATCTATGGAGTCACTCATCCACTCATCCATGTACTTTTATTATACTCCAAGTCCTCTCCCTCCATCTTTTCATCATATTTGAGTGACAAAATTCAACTTGGCTGAGCCTTGTTGTGGATTTTCTACATGACCACACCATCCTGCTAGAGAAAGTCGCACCATAGGTTAGATGAGTGTTGTCACGGGCTCATGGAATTAACCGCAGTGTTTCCTGAAACATCCTATTGCTGTGATCAAATAAGCCTGCCAACCTCTGCAATAACTCTTCAGACCTTTCCATTTGTCTCTAATCTCTTACAGCAACTCCTCCAAGACACTACCCACACTTTCTAAGATCATCTGGTTTATTTCTCAGAAAAATCCTTCAGATGGGAATTATCTGGACCTCCTGCACCTGAACCACATCAAGATTCAGCCTTCCTTCCTTCCTCTCAGGCAAAGGAGGTCTTAAAATCCTCCCACCTGTGGGCCTCATTCTCTAGTGTTTTCAGAAAATGTACCCAGGCATTCATCTTCTATTTTTGTGTTAATTGCCCTACTGATTGTCACCAAACCCACTTCTACCCAGAGTTTTAGGGAATGGCACATGTATCCAGTATGCAACCCAGAAGCTCTCGAGTCATCTTGGATTCAGTTTTATCTTTAATACCCAATTGTTCATCACAGTTTGTCATTTTCACCTATTCTTCACATCCACCTGCCCCCTTCATTTGTCTCGCCAGTGCCTTCAATTTATTCTCCCTAATGATCCATCGTTTCTCAACCCTGCCTTGCTCCTACTTTAAACATTTCTTAAATTGCTTTCCATAATTTCAGAAAGCTGATAGCTTTTAGATTGGGGTGGAAGGCCTGTCTTTCATTGTGCTCTTCCTGATTTCCTAAGTGCCAGTCACGCTGGCCACGTCCTCCTTCAGCACGGGCCTTGGCACCTGCTGTCCTCTCAGTCTAGAAAGCACTTTGATTCCGCTTTGCCTGGTAAACACTTCCTTCATTTCTGGCTTAAGTGACACTTTTTCAGAAGCTTGCCTCAGACAATATCAATTCTCCATTAGAAGGTTTCACATGCTTTTTCTTTATATGACATATCGCAGCTGCCGTTTTATATTTAGTCATGTAATTACTTAATATCGTCTCTGTCCTCACCAGCCCAGAAATTCACTTGGGCAGGGACCACTTCTGCTTTTGCATTGCGTGCCTGAAATAGTGACAGTCAGGAAGTAGGTACTCCATAAATATTTATTGAATGGATATGGATTGAATAAATGTTCAGGGAACTGATTTAGATGCTCTAGGGCATGGGTTCTCAAATCTTAACATCCAAAGGATCTGGAGGCTTGTTAAAGTGCAGGTTTGGGGCCTCCACACCAGAATTTCTGATTCAGTAGATCTTGGGTATCATATAAAAACTCACATTTCTAACAAGTTCCAAGGTAATGTGCATGTGGTTAATCTAGGAATCTCAATTCGAGAACTGTAGCTTTAAGGAATTGAACACATGATTATGATATGATTACTATCACCAAGGAATTTGCAATTTTATTCTGGGCACAAATAGTAGATAAGAGATATTTGAGTAAAAAATACTATTTAAAAATTGTGGAAGTCATAAGTAGAAAATATATGACCTGACCTTGTCTACCCTTGATGTTCACAATTGATTGCTCTATCAACTTTAGGGCTAATGTTTTCTATTAGTGTTTATGGTGAAGAAAGATCATTTCAAACTGAAATGATTATAAAAATAGTGTAGAGAGCTGGGGATGTATTGCGGTGGTAAAGTGTTTGCCTGGTATGTGCAAAATCCTGGGTTTAATCTCTAGCACACATCCACCACTGCCCAAATAATTCATACAATATAAAGTGGATTAAGGACATTTAAGGACTAATAGGTTGAGTTCTTCAAGGAGAGTAGGATGCAGAAATATGTGGAAGAGGGACAGTTAGAGCAACAGCAGCAGGGAGAGGAAACAGTCTGCCCAGAGTCAAAGAGAAAGAGGTAATTTAGCTGGAACCTAGGATTCATGTAAAAGAATAATATAGAAATGGGCAGGAAATGGAGAGAAGAGAGGAAGGCTTTGAGAAGTGAAAGAACAATGTAAGATGGGCTGGCAGCATGTTCGTGGGTGTGTGACCAAATCATATCTATCGCGCTTTCGTTCCCTGTCTACTATCTGCCTCATTTAGGGAGGAATGATACTACCGGGAAAAACAAAGGCTCCTGTCGGGCAGCAGGTATTCCAAGTAATATTTGCTCCGTAGTTATCAGTACAGTCTCCAGTATGATGTCCACAGACCCTGACTGGTAGCATTAAAATGTCAAAGTTTTTGTAGTGCTTAGTTTTGGGTGATAAAAGCGAGTCCCAGTACAAGTTATTACAGTCTACTAAGACTGTACTTTTTTTTTCAACAAAAGATGGGACAAATATCATAGTTGTCTAAATAGAGTCCACAGTTTTTGCACCAAACTGTATTCAGAAATAAGTTGCAAAACATTCAGAGAGGCTGACGAACGTGCATGGCTGAAGGCATCATGACCTCATTCGCAGGGAAGTCCTGTGGTTCTGAGCTGATGGACTCTCACGTGCCTCCATCAAAGTCACAGTGTCAAGCCTGACACTGCCCAGTTGTCTTCCGAATCCACTGCCTCCAGAAAACACAGATGTGGCCTTTAGACTTTTATGCAGGAGTCACTCTTGGCTTTAAAATGGATTACTTTACCAACAGGATTGTCTTTCAGTATCCTGAAATACAGTTTTGGGTCACTTCCTTTGTGTAGAACTGAAATCTACAGAATGGAATTAAATAAATTTACGTTATAGATATTTTATTTCATACAGTTGTTCTGGTTATATGGTAAACATGATGCTACAATATTTTCCACATGTTTTGTGTTCATTCCAATAAGCTAAGTAGGAATTTTTTTCTCTGAAAGACCTAAAAAAATGATCATCCAATGACAAGCATGAAAGCATTATTTAAAATTTTGGGCCTTCCACATAGCTCCTTTTTGAAGATAACAATTTGTCTGATGTATAAACTCCCCCTGATGAGTTCCAATTTTGTTCCAACTTAAAAAAGCAGTGAATGTACAATCATGGAATACTATTTAATAATAAAAAAGAATGAAACCTTA